TGTGATTACATTAATCACATGCGATTAATAACTAGAAAACCAATGATTTTATCACTATTCAAACTGTTTATCAAACTGTTTTACTTCAAAATGTTTTACAAACTCTTTTACTTATCAAATGCTTTTATTAAACTTTGTTTTACTTCTTATAAATTGCATGCCCATATATGTATAGATATATAAGAAATGTTTAAAGGGCTTAGGAAGGCCATCCGCCCTATTTCCTTTTCGCGCTTGAGATGTGGTCTGGTGGGATTTTGGGTAACCGTCCGAAGGTCATTTCAATATTAGTTATATATCAAATATACATATATAGACATAAAAGTACTTCCATATTCATACTTATCAGTACATCATCAGTAAGTTACCATCGGAGTAACATAGGATCATACTACTACAATTTCTAGATAAATGAGTCAGTTCATTCATGAGTCAATACTTATTACTACGAGTACTTATACAACTATACTACAAAGAGAACATATACAACTATACTAGAAAGAGAACATATACAACTATACTAGAAAGAGAACATATACAACTATACTAGACAGAGAACATATACAACTATACTAGAGGAAGAACATATACAACTATACTAGAACAGTTCATTACATTACATATACAAGAATACGTTAACAATTGTGATCCACTGTATCGGAGCATGCCTTAAATGTCATGGTCCGAGTTGTAGCCAGAATTCTCTTGGAGGGAGAGCGTGAGTTTGCGTATAGATCTATACTGGATTGACTATCCTACACCTTGTTGCTAGCTACAGCCGGACCTGCAGGTCTGTGGGTGCCAAACGTCAGTCCGTTATTACGACCATTCGTATGTCGTTGTTACCAGTCGATAGTATGGTGCAATTTATCACATGATACCTTAATATAAATCCGGTTTAAGGTAGTCAGTACAACAATAGTTCCTATAATACAACACTACAGTACTACAATAATTTACCAATTACATACTTTTAGTGATTGTTTCACTTAAACTTTAATGTACAAACTATATTTTGTTAAATGATAGTTACACTTGGGAAATTACACACTTTTACAACAAACGAGCATACAAAACAGTTAAGCCTTGGTAGAAGGCTACTTTAATAGGAAATATAGGTTTTTCTGAGAGATTCAAACTTGTACAAACACTTACAAACATTTACTTACATTTTACAAACTTACACTTGAGACATGTTCAAACGTTTTTGGATGACAAATACCGATACTAAAATACTTATGAACTCACCAGCTTAATGCTGATAAACTCTTTCAAAATAACTTGTATTCTCAGGTCATCAGTAGACAGGTACCGAGGCCAGCTTTTGAGAAGATGGAGCGCATCCAAGACTCATCTTATTATTTTGATTTACATTATTTTTGGTGTCTATAACTGTTCATAACACGCTTGTATTAAAATTATATATTTAATGCAATGGATGATGTTGTTTGCTTATTTACATTTACTGTGTTATGATACTTTATATGACGTCCTCCACCCCAGAACGTTTCCGTCGTTCTTGGTTTTGGGGTGTGACAGGTAACCACCATGGTAGCCAACCATGGTGGTTGCCACCATGCACCACCGTATTGTGTGTGTGTGTGTGTGTGTGTGTTTACTTGAGATTTAGCCTTGTAAAATGTAATTAGAAATGGAATAATGAGAAAGAAACTAAAAACCACCACCGTGAGGTGGTGGCTGCCGCCTCCTGCCGCTACCGACCGCCATGTTGGGTGGCGGTGTGTTTGCCTTGTGAGTTTGATTCGTTTTGGGGTGCTTGAAACCCTAATGGGCCAAAGTAGCTCACATGGGCCCAATAAAGCTTAATGGGCCCTAATAAAACCCTAATGGGCTCAATGATACTCTAGTGGGCTTAATAGGCCCAATAAAGCCCTAAATAACCTAAAAGTCCAACAAATTAATAATGGGCTAGTATTTGTGTTGGAAAACCCTAATGCCAATAAATCTTAATTTAAGGAATTAATCGGGACACACGGGAATTATTTAATAACTTGGAATATTAAATAATGATCATTGGCAAAAACTAGCGTAAGGCATAATGGACTTAATGGATTAAGTCCTTAATGGGTTAGGAATGAAACACTGAACCTTAATCATCATTTCATGTGAAAACTCTAATTTGGGATTATGGGCTTGGACTTATCGAGACCCACATTTGGGCCATTGGAATGGAATTGTGTGATTAAGCCCAATCACACCATATGACTTATTTTGAAGAATGATGGACTTAATGGATTAAGTCCTTAGAGGAATAATTCCTTAATAGGTTAAGTAGGAAATTTAACCCTAATCGGCATTTTATGTGAAACCCTAACTTCACTTGGGTTTATTGTTGGGCCTTTCTATTGGGCCTTGATGATTGGATTATTAATGGGTCATCCACGAATAATTATATGGACTAAAATAATTTAATGGGCCTAGGGTAAGTCACATGTAAGGGGTTGGGCCCAATTTGGAAAATTGGGCCATATGATGAGCTTTGATTCCTAGTTCGCTTTGGGCCTTGGGCTTATATAAGCCAAGCATGGGGTGATGAAGTAATTATCCAAGTTTGTATTATGGTTATGTGTTGGGACCCAATTACTAATTGGGTGTTGTTTTGGTGTTGACAGTTCGGGAATCTATCATCCAACAGATGGGGTTAAGTCTGCGAGACTTCAGCAAGTGTGGGATTGTGTTTACGGGACTTCAACAATGTGAGGTGAGTTACGTTCCAGTAGCGGTGGGTCTAAGGCCACAATGTCGACCCACCAGTAGGAGATGTATGATAGATGATTGTCTTTGTGATATCATCTAGGTTTGCTACTACCTGATATGTTATATGCTAGCATGATATGTTGTATGTGATAGTAGTAGAGTTCGGTTGTTAGGACCGAAGGGTAGTCAGACACCCTAGGTACGTCTAACAGTATGTGATGATATGTTTGTATGCTAGTTTGTTATGTTATATGCGATAGAGGTAGTAGGTGGGGATCAGTCCCCGAGTTCGGTTGTTAGGACCGAAGGGTAGTTTAGGTACCCCAGATATGTCTGATATTATGTTTGTGTCATGTTATATGTGATAGTAGTAGTAGCGGGTGAAATAGTCCCCGATGTTCGGTTGTTAGGACCGAAGGGTAGTTCAGGCACCCCAGATATGTCTGATATTATATTTGTGTTATGTTATATGTGATAGTAGTAGTAGGGGGTGAAATAGTCCCCGAGGTTCGGTTGTTAGGACCGAAGGGTAGTCAACACCCCAGAATAGCTCGACATGGGTAGGTCAGCGCCCCAGAATGGCTTGACACGAGAAGGACGATACCCCATAATCGCCGCATGGGTAGGTCGGCACCCCAGAATGGCCGTACCGGGTAGGTCCGGGCACCCCATAAATGCCTGGCAGTATGTATGTGATATGATTGTATAGTATGTGGTATGATGAGGGAACTCACTAAGCTTCGTGCTTACGGTTTTCAATTTTGGTTTCAGGTACTTCGTGTTTAAAGGAAAGGAGCCGACTTGATCGCAGCGCATCACACTATGGTTTTCCGCACATGAGATCTTTGGGATTACACTTTGATATTGTTTTATGATAACATGTTTAATTATTTCTAATTTGGCTTTGATATGACATGGCATTACAAATGTTTTATTACACTGTTGGTTTTATAAAAACGTATTTAAAAGTGAAATTTTTTGATCTGTATTTTTGGGATGTTACATTACACCATGAATAGGCTCAAGGTTCACTTTAATATACTTTTGCCCTCTCATATCCTTTTAGCACCATGCATAGTCCAATTTAAATAAAGGAAATATAACAGAGTTCTAACTATGCTAACGTTAGAAAATTTGGGTTGTTACAATATTAATATCATAATTTAGCAAACCCTGAGATGAAGATAATTTATAGGGTGTGTGCACTACTATATAAGGCATGTAAATCATTGAGAGACAAGTATGAGACAATACTAATTTTGTTCTTCACTCTCCCCCTCATATTTACTTTTGTTTGTTATGCTAATACCCTTGAAGATCTTGCATGATTGCAATTTTGTGGTGCGACTACAATACAACGACTTTATTTTGGATCTTTGGGTATGTTTTTTCAAGTGTATGTCCTTATTTCCTAAAAAATAAACCTCATTTATTGCATTGATCTTTATTTAGATCACTCGACATTTTACATAAATCGTAATGTTGCAAAATCATGAGTTTCTCTTTGTAATACTAATTGCAAAAACTACTATGTTGTTTGACGAACCCGAACACCAACTACTATGTTGTTTGCCGAACCCGAACACCACTGAAAGATTGAGATTGACAACAATGAGATGTCATTCTTCCAAAAGATTATAGAAAGTTTTCTAATTTTAAGAAATTTAAAAGTGTTTACGAATGTTGTGGTTAAAATAATACAATTCTTGCTAATAAGTGACAAATGGTTTTTTAGATCCAAAAAAATGGCTATATGAGAGACATATGGTTATGTGATTAAACATAAAAAATTAAAATTAATGAAAAATCAAGTAGCTTTTAAATTGCTTTTTGAAACCGGATAAAACTCATAAGAGCAACCGGTTCAAATACCATATCAATTTTTAAACCGAATCAAGATCTGAACCGGATTAGGATCCCGAGTAGGTTATTTTTTATTTATTTATTTGATTTTTTTTAATTAGATAAAATCAGGTCTAGGCACGGTCTAAACATAAAGTGTATATTGGGCCCGCCCTACCCAAGGTGGCAAGGTCTGCTCGCTGAATAAAAACAGACGACGACATTCGCCGGGAAACGGAATCGCCGTTAAACAGTGCCAAATCATCGCGCTCGCTCTCTCGCTCGCGTTCTCTCTTAGTTTTCATTCCAATAGGCATTTCGAATTTAGGAAACGACGGGTGACTGCTATTCCAAGGGCTCTCCACTCCACAACCAGCTTCTTCCCCACCGCTAACTGCTGTAAGCCGCAATGTGAGTTTTCTTTTCTCTTGCTTTTATAATTTTGAAATTCGCTTTGATTTGTGTTGGTTTGACGAATAGGATGGGGCTGCTGGTTAAAATGACATGATTATTTGTTTTGGATATATTTTTTTGTGCGTTGAGTGGAATGATATCAAGTTATTGATTTTTATTTGCAATTAATAAAGGTTAAGGGTTTCTGATTTTAGTTTTCAACCGAGTGTTGGTATTCATTGTGAAATTGGCAACAAATTTAGCGACTTGGTGTGACTTGGTGTAGTGTGTATATCGTAACATGTGGGTGAAGTGGATATTCGTTAGTGACGGATATATCTAACCTAATTTGTTGCAAGGATTATGCAGATTAAGGTAGTGTTTGTTTTTTGTCTGCAGATCTGCGAGATATCTTCTGTCTGCACCGCGTAGACCACGCGCACATTAGTCTTCGCAGACTGTTTGTATTTTTGAAGACTGCAGACCTAAAAATATCTGTGCGCCCTCTTCCTCTTCTTGGCGCAGATGTGGACCAGAGTCTTCTAACATCTTCAGACATCTTCTAGCTTAAAAAAACATATATATCTTTATTTTTTTTAAGTTTTTTTTTTTAATTTATATTTTTTCCAACTATATTAATGATAAACAATATGAAAAAAATAAAAATTACAAAACTTAAAAAAAAACATTGGACGATACAAACATGATATTTTTAACAAATTTATAAATAAAAATTTATTATAATAATAGTCGTTGAAGTTGTTTATATAAATATGAAAAAAAAATCATAATATATTCTTATATTTTTTTGCCAAAATTTTGTAAAATTTTATTTAATAGAGTATCATCAATTTCTCGAGAAAATATTTATCGTACGTTTTTAATAGATTTATTTGAAAAAATCGAAGTTTATTTCCATCTATTTATGTATCAAATTCTTTGATCACTAATTATAATGTTTAGTTATAACTTTACAATCAAAGTTGTTGGTTTTTATCAAATATGTATATGAATTAATACCATTTTTATTTTTATTTTTTATATAATAATACATAAAAGTTGATCTAGATTCGTTATATATTTATAATAAAGTCGTAAAAATATATAAAAAATTCGCTTTGAAGTTTTAAAAAATCAGTTTATTTAGATTTCAGTTTATTTTGTTAAAAAAACAAACAGTCTTTTTTTTTCAGACTGCAGACGTTTGGTCCACCTCTTCTACTGCAGAGGTCTACAGATGTGGTCCGCAGACTGCAGACATTTTGCCTCAGAAAAAACAAACAGCACCTGAGTAAACATTGCAAATTAAAAGAAGTGAATTGAGTTTGAGTTGATTGAGATACGAATTTGTTTGGAGATTTTGTGGAATGAAGGAGTTCAATTGTTTTAACAGCTGTATTTGCAGATCTAAGGTTTTGGATATTGATAATGACGACCCTTGATGCGGATATAGTTTCACATCGCCGGAGTTACTACCAAATGACTGATTTTCACAAGAACACAAGATTATTTAGCATGACTAAGAGGCGTAAAGAAGTGTCGGTCCGTGATCATGGGATTGAAAGGTCCAACATCGTGAAGCAGGTTTGTTATATATGTGTTGGGCTTTAGTCGAATTGCTGATTATTCATGTACCGTAGGATGTTATTGTTGTTTCATTCACTTAAACACATCTGTTTGACTTGTGTAAAAAGGATCTTGCCTCAATGGCTGCTAAAGTACATTCGACTGATAGAGATCTGCAGCTGGGTGGAACTGTCCTAATTCGTAAACGCCTTATGTTAGGTATATATGTTTTACATGTATGTATGTATGTCTGAATGTATACGCACACACTGAATTGGTTTCATTTCATTTCACAGGACGACAAGAAACTGCAAAAGTTATACAACTTGGTTTGGTACCTCGCATTGTCGAGTTGTTAAGTAGGGAGGATTCTGCCGAGCTTCAGGTAATAATGCTATTTCTATCTCTGTTTGAGTATTTGCTTTTTAGCCTTATTATTATTCATTTTGTAACAGGTTGAAGCTGTTGGGTGTCTTTCTATCATTGCCTCAGGAGTAGTATATAAGTGGACAAAGGATGTCCTAGACAGCAGAGCGGTCCCAGCACTTGTAAAACTTCTACTTTCTCCAAAAGATAAAGTTCAGGAGCAGGTAACAACATAAATGCTTATGCTTGGTACATAATTTCAGAGGTGGAGGAAATCTCTCATTTATGACCTTGCTTCTTCTTACAGGCTGTTCATGCATTGGGAAATATAGCTGGAGATTGTGCTGAAAGCCGCGATCATGTTTCTGCCAACGGTGCGTTGACTCCTTTGCTTCGTTTGTTGCTTGAGAAGGATGCTAAGGATCCCATTCTAAGAACTGCAAGTTGGACATTGTCCAACTTATGCGGAGGATATCCATTTCCTCCGTTTGAACAGGTATTGTCAATTGTCATATACGATATATCATATTTTTTGTTTTTTTGCTTTTTTGTAGCTGATTTTTGATTTGCAGACAAAAGCAGCTCTTCCGGTAATTGTGGATCTCATCAAGACCAAGGGGAAAGACAAAGATGTCTTGACAGACTTATGCTGGTCTCTCTTTTATATTTCCGAGGCTACTGCTGAGGGACATAAAGCGGTGCTTGCTGCCAAGGTCTCTCAACGCCTTCTGGAGCTTCTGAGGTCTGTCAACACTTTCTCCTGTTTGATTCCGTTTCCACCTTCCCTTTTGACATTTATATATTTTCTGTGATCTTCAGTCCTCAGCTCCCCGCTGAAGTTGCCAATGCTGCACTTTGTTGTGTTTGTAAAATCTACCTCACAAACGATCAAACTGAGGGTTTTATAAATCTTGATTTCCTTTCAAAACTGGCCAACTTGTTGCCAGTCAAGAATATGAAAGAGCAAGTGTGCCGTACAATAACTACTAGCATCATCACTTCAAGAAACAAACATGTAATGCTCACTGTAATACTGTATCCTTTGGGCTTTGATTCCTTCCTTGTATTTTAATCCATCTTGTTTTCAACATAATATAGGCTATTATTGAGGATGTGATCGAGGCTCAATTACTTAAAAGGCTAATCAAAGAAGTCGAGAATGCACCGTTTCGGGTTAAAAGAGTCGCAGGACAAGCTGTTGCAAATGTCATTTTGTGTTCTTCACCGGAACAAATCAGGTTTCTACTCTCACCATTCCCTTGTAAATGATATGTGACCCTCTCCTCCTCTCATACAGACTTACATGTTACCATGTTTCATAGGCGTTTTGTGGACAAGGACTGTGTAAACGCAATGGATATTATCCTTGAACTCAATGATTTGGGAAGCGTTCACCTTGCTTTACAAGGGATTAACAAGATTTTGAAAGTAGGCCAAGAGCAGCAGTTAGATGTTGAAGTTAGTTCCTCCTATGCAGCATCATTTGCTGAAGCACCTGCCTTAGAAAAGATTAGGTATTTGAGTAGTCTACACGTGGGTGATGTTAGTGATACTGCTCAACAGATTGTTGACATGTATATGTGAGCTGTGTATGACCTGTATATGTGAGCTGTGTATGCGAAATATGCATGCACCATAGTACGTCTTATACTTCATTTATCAGATTATTTCATTTCTCATTTGCTCGTCGTTGTAAAAAAACTTATTTCTTCAAACTTTTTGCTGATAATAATAATCAATTGTTATAATTTCTTGAAAAATGACAACTTAGTTCGGAATAGCGCACTACGGAATTACCTCCGGGATACCCGAGTTGTATTCTGAAGAGTATTGTTTTGTGTTTTATATTTTCTGTTATTATTATTATTTTTTAAAATAGACTTTTGTAAATAAAGTAATATTTTGTGTTAAATTTGTTTTTTTCTTAAATAGAGAATTTGTTTGTGTGTGTGCACGTGCTTTGTGTGTTTTTATATGTTCTTTGAAAAATAACTATATTTATAGCAAAAATTAACAATAAAAAAGTAACAATTTTATAAACTTAAATATGTTTTAAATACAATGTTCATATAACAAGGGATGAGAATTTGATCCGAAAACCCGAACCAAACTAGGCCCAAATTAAGTCATTTGATTCGGGTTCTAGGTATCTATATTATGCTTATTCGGTTTTCGGGTTATTTGGTTCAGGTTACACAAATAATAACTTATTCGGTTCTAAATTCCTGACCCAAATAAGCATTCATCCTCCCATTTTTCTGTTTGACAGAAATCAAAATCATAATTCATATTTTTGCCCTCGTCGTTCATAGCAGAAAAAAAACCGAACACTTGTTCTCGTTTCTAAATCGACAAATCTTCTCATCTTTTTCCAAACTCGAAATCACTTTTGTCGATACTTCCACTTGTTTCAAACTTTCAAAAATCAACCCTTCATGTTTATCTAAGGATTCACAAATTCACACTTTGCCTAGTCATAGAACATAGTAGGGGTATCAATTTATGACACGACATGACAAAAATACACGAAACAAAACGAAATCGGGACGAAATCAAAATTCGAATTCGTGTGTCGTTTTCGTGTCAAGATTAAAAAATACGATGTCGTGTCGTGTCGTGTTCGTGTTTATAAATCGACACGAAATTGACACGATTAAGCATGTGCTTGTTGTGTTTTTCGTGTTTGTCGTTTTTGTCGTGTTACATATCTTTAAGTATGAACGAAATACACTAATTGTTATGGAATATTGTCTTTGTCGTGTCGTGTTTTCGTGTTTTAATTGGTTCGTTTTCGTGTTATTGAAAAAAAAACACGACATCGTGTCGTGTCGTGTTCGTGTTATACAAAACCTTGTCGTGTCGTGTCTCATCCATGCATGGATCATGAAAGCCCAAAAGGTGATGGATTAGTGATTACTAGTGGGCTAGAAGGTGGTTTGGGTTCAATGGTTGGGTTGTGCATGGTAACCCACAAATTGAATTAGGGTTGCATGAAGGCTAGGGCAACAATTTTAAGGCTTCATAGTGCTAAAAACATTACTTTTTTACTTCATAAAGCCTCCTAGCCGTTTTTATCACTCTTTGGTGGATTAGGGTTACACTTTAATGCTTCTGATGGCTCATTAATGCTTCTTATGACTCCTTAATGAAGCATAGACATTTTTTCTTCATCCTCAAGTGTCTTGCACGTTTTTTTTTTGTGTTATTTCAAGAGTTTTCTTAATTTTCATTTACTAGTTTTAATGAATAATTGATTGGTTGGCTTGTAACCACCAAATTTGTAATAAAGGCTTCATATAAAGCCAAGTTTATGCATGGAAAAAGTAATAGACGAATTTCTAAGAAAAAAACTTTTGTTCGCTTGGAATTATTGTTATAATTCACAAATTATCTTGTTGGGACGTGTTCTTGACTTGATACGAACTCAATCCAATTGGTCTCGGATTGTTTTCACCGGTATACAACTTAATAGGTCTTGAGTTGTTACTAATCTATCCATTTCTTTCCATTCACATATCATTTGTGGTTGTTATTCTTTCTTAATTTACCTAAACACTACCCTACTCACCAAATCAAGCCCATACACGTATCAGTGTCGTGTCAGACAAAAACACGACACGACTACCCGATTTGACAGCCCTAGAAAATAGGGCTCCAACTCAAGAAACTCAAGTAAGAAATTAATTCTCATTATGTTAATCTACTATGTAATTGTAATTCTTTCAATGTGTTATTGTGTTATGTTAGTCTTTGAATGTTTTATGTTGTTGTATAAAAGTATATTATTATTCTATTATTCAGGTTATAGAATCCTAATACGGTTTACTCAGGTTTTTTTTTTCCGGTTATACGAGGTCCTTAATCATCTTGTACATGTTATTCGGGTTATTCGGATAATAACCGAACCGAACAAACTCGTGTTGGTTAATCGGTTCGGTTTTCGGTTCATGCAATCACTCTTATTCGGTTTTTGGGTTATTCGGATTCGGGTTCGGTTTAGTTCGGTTCCGACTTAAATAACATCCCTACATATAACGTCCCAAAAATAATAAGTAAAATTTTCATTTTTAAATAACCCAAAACATTCATTCATTACTTCCCAAAAGATAATCAGTGTATTAAAAGTGTTTCAAATAACATCAGAGTAATATCAATGTCATAAATGCGGAAACTCCAGTGGATGTAGTGTAATCATGTCGGGTCCTTCCCTTTGGAACCAGGTGTACGTGAAACAAGTAAACATAAACAGTAAACACAAATTTTAGTGAGTTCATTAAAATACCATATACCATACATAACATAATAACAAAACCAAGTCTTTGAAGAACACAACACCCCAAAAAGCCATAAAAACTCAAGAATATGGATGAGATGAGAAAGAAGCAGCTTGATCTATGAAGAGAGGCTAGGGTTTTCTGCAAATAGGGGTTCTTGATGCAATGGGGGCTTCAAATTAACCTAAAACAAGAGGTTGAAGACTATAAATACAAACCAAACCCTAATTTAATGGGCTTGGGCTGTACAATTCACTCCTTTGTGGTGAACTCCTCACCACGCCTGGTGGCAGGTTTTTCCCAACTTTCACTTCAGCTTCAAACAACCATAAGTTCTTTGTTTTAACTCCAATTATAGTGATCTTTATATGTACGCGAATATATTGACAATACCCACAATTCTATCTAATTAATTTTGACTTAAAACATTCCAACTAAATTCCTTAATTCATGCAAGAAGTCCTCAATATCACTTTTCCATTTTACCCTTTAGCTCCAAAGCACAATTCAAGGGATTAAATTACTTAACCAACATTATCAACATCCAAAAGGGTCTAAACTATATTCTCGTGAATCCCAATACCTTTACTTGATAAAGGCTTGATTACTTCAAAGTCTAATTAAAGAATTCGAGGATGTACGTTTGGGTTAAAATAATCGCGAGACAAGTTGTTGCATCATTTTGTGATCTTCACCAGAACAAATCAGGTTTCTACTCTCACCCTTCACTAAATGATATGATGTAACCCTCTCATACAGACTTACAAGTTACCATGTTTCATATGTGTTTCATGGACGAGGACTGTGTAAAGGCGATGTATATTATCCTTGAACTCAATGAACTGGGAAGCATACGACTTTCTTTATAAGGGATTAAAAAGACTTCGAAGGTAGACTTAGAGAAGGAGTTAGATGTGGGTACTGCTGAAGTTAGTTCCTCATATGCAACATTGTTTGCTAAAGCACATGACTTAGAAAATATTAGGTATTTGAGTATCTATACTTGGGTGAAGTTAGTGATATTGCTAAATAGATTGTTGACCTGTATATGTGATCTGTGTATGTGAAATATACATGCACCATGTTTTTGTCTAAATCTTTTATAGGAATTATTAAACTTCATTTATGAGATCAAGTCAATTGCTCTTAGTTCTTGTAAAAAAGTTTGATAACATCTTGAAGCTTATTTCTTCAAACTTTACTATAACATCCTAAAAATCATAGGTAAAAATTTCATATTTTTAATTCAATTCAGACCATCAAATATTCACATCAAACCAATCATAAGTATGTCATAGTAAAATAGTCATCAGAGTACAAATCCCAAAATCAAAAAGTGCGGAAACATGGTTGGATGAGATGCAATCATGTAGGGCACATCCCTTTCAAACTAGAAGTACCTGAAACCACAAACATAAACTATAAGCGCACAAAACTTGGTAAGTTTCCCCAAAATAACCCATACCATACATATACATATCAGTCAAACATAATTGGGTCTATTTCACCCCTTTTGGTCTCTTTCAACTGATATTGGGTCTATTTCACCCCCTTCGGTCTCTTTTAACCGGTATTCGGTCTATTCCCCCCCCCCCCCCGATGTCTTTCAACCGGTACAGGGTTTATTTCACCCCCATTCAGTCTCTTTCAACCGGTATTGGGTTTATTTTACCCCCTTCGGTCTCTTTCAACCGGTATTGGGTCTATTTTACCCATACAACTAGCATATAATCATATCAGCAAAAGTCACAAAGACAACAAGAACATAAAGTCATAACAATAATTGTCAAAAACACATCTATCATTCTAAAAACATAATGCAGTTGGACGATATTGATGCCTTTGACCTATGAGTACAGTGAAGGAACTCACCTCAATCTAAAGATAGACAAATCACACTCTCGGGCTGCTGCGACTACGACTCCTCACACTGAACATTCTAAATTATCTTTAATCAATACCTAGGGTAAAACCCCATGATTGGTCCAAAATACCATCTATCATGCCAAGGGGTAAAACACCATTTTACCCCTTCCTCCAATAGGCCCTTCAATCCATGACCCAAGTCTAAAAGTCTTAAAGCCCAACAATAGCCCAAGGCCTAAGGCCCAAAAATGACCCAAATGCCTAAAGCGCAAAATGGTCCCTAGTGAGTACGTTATGCGTACCACCTATGTACAACTTACTCAACGACGGGGGATCGAGGCTCAAACCCAGTACACATGACGTACTCAGAAGTACACCCAACATACTTGTTAGTTTCTCATTCTCATTCTCATGGCTTAATCCCTTAAGACCTTAACATCCAAACCATAGATCTACTTCTAAATATGGTCTTAATCCATAAAGTTGGAAGCTTTAAGCCCTTGATGACTTCAATAGGTTCAATCCTTAGATTCAACATTCTACTTTAATCAACAACCATTAACTCATGCATGGTTGGTCTACAACCATCAAGATGCAAACTTTATGAACTAGTAACCTCA